GAGCTTCTCCGTGATGTAGTACACACAGTCGGAATTTTCAAATGCAAGAAAAAATTTATACCGAAGTGCTAGTGTCCGCAGACAGGTATCGCCTTCGCGGGGGCAAGGTAGCCACTTGGAACCGTAAAAGTCAACCTAAAAAGATGCAAGAAAATGTAGAAACAAATTCCGGAGTTCGTTTCTAGTGCTATCAGTTGGTCGCTGATCCTAAAATGCGAACTTGTTTAGTTAACTGTAACGATAATCCAGATCAAATCTATCTGATCAGAAAAGCTGCAAGTTCGAGGCTTTGGTGTGACACAACTTAGGTCTGAGTGTGACTAGCTGACGACGGCTAATAAGGCAGAAATTGTTTTTAGCCATTGGGGCCATTCCCTACATAAAATGGGTCTCCGAAGCAGTCTCAAGACTGTTAAAACCTGCTGGCGTAGGCATAGCCCATTGACCGCAGGCAACAATACGCTGCTGGGCGACGCAACCTAAAGACAGACTGCCTCCTACATGAACCTCTGCAGTTGTCTGCAATATACTTTGCATTGATGTTAACTGCAATTAAGTTGGAGAAACAGGCTGCAAAGTGCAGACCAGCCTTCACGAACACAAACCGGTAGCTTCAAGACTAGACCCAAACTCTCAACTTACAACACACGTCGCAGAGACTGACCATGACTCCAATCTTCAAGGAGCAACTATCATAGGCCGAAGAAACTCAAAAGCCGAAATGTTGATACTTGAGGCATGGCACTCAGATGCCGACTGCGCCATCAGGCATCTAGACATCCCCGCGGCCTACAGATTCCCATCTCATTATACTTCCGGTTTTTGAATCAGCATCTATTCGGCTGCCTGCAAAAACTTTACGCCGTATCATTTTCTACATATTTATTTGCAATTTTTTCCATAAATTGTACATTTCGTTATACATTCGAATAAACTTTAAACAAAACTTAGACGAGCATCGTCTTTATTGTATCCAATAGGTGACACATTACATATTTTCTATGCATTATCCTCAAATAAGGGGTAAGTTAATACAACACAAATGTTGCTCATTATGAGTTTAATAAAACGTCACAATGTCAAAACTCTATCAGTAAATCTATTCAGACGAATACAAATCGTTTTGATGCGGGTACAATTTCTAATATACTGAGAGTAACAAGGATTTTAGACCGCAAAGCAAGGCGGCTAATACACGGGTAGATTCAGTTTAAATGATTTAAAATATTGATGATGTCTTATCAGTCGGAATACAGCTATCTTTTGTGAACAGAAATTTGAGGAAGGCGTGGTGTTCTACCACATATATTCTACCAAATATACTTGCATTTTCGCAGCAATAATACATGCATAGGCGAATTGGCAGCCTAAATAAAAAGCATATGCGATGTATGTAATTATGTATTACCACCAGATATCTTTAAAGCTGCTTAAATGACTTGTTACAAAATAAACATTCAAATGTTTCTGGAGCATTCCATAACTTTCTTTTGCGAAATAAGTACGCTTACAAAAATATCCACCCGGTAGATTAAGTAGGGCAGTTTGTATACGCCTAGTCCCAGAATGTTTTCCTGCGGAAGCGGTGAACCTAGGGGTTTCGTGGGTGGGGACTTGAAATAGGCAGTGAAACCTTCTTCATTGACTGTCCTATGCATTTTTTTTATTTTATTGTGTTTAGTAATGCTGTTGATTTGTATCTGTAGCGTTTCCTAATCTGCATTATCATTTAACATATTGTTGAAAAACCGGATTATTAAAATGTGGGTTTCTCAAAATTCCTCAAAAAAGAAGGATGTCGTTTTCTTCAACCTACCTGAGATTAAACTCACCGTTCTGGAGTAAGATAAGTAAAGCCCGCGGCGCAAAACCTCGTGCACACGTTCAATTACCACGCAAAACAACTTACTCCTACCGGCCGCGTGAAACAAATTCAACCATATTTTTCCACATTCCACTTATTTCTACAAATTTGCTTCACTGCCAATCCTATTTTCCCAACCCGAAAACGCCAGTATTTATCAAATTTTTAACTTGAGTTGAGCCATTTGTGAAAAAAATCGTGGTTTTGGCGGGATTTGAACCCGCGCATCAGAGAAGACCTTTGCCGGAGGTCAATCCTCTAACCGCTTAGCTACATAGGCTCGTGCCGTGAATTTAATCACACTTGGGTCGATATTACCCGCCCTACATTACCGCCCATATGGAATCCACCAATACAGAGACTGTAAGTTGATTGCCCAAGCAGGATTTCCTAAGCAATCATCTAGAATACACCAAAATGACTACCAGGCTGATTTAATTATTAGGAGGTTCGGCAGATTTGCTTAATTTAAGTTGACCCAATTGTGAGGCGGGGCCTTTGTAGCTTAGCGGTTAGAGGATTGGCCCCCGGCAAAGGTCTTCTCTGATGCGCGGGTTCAAATCCCGCCAAACGCCTCGAGTTTTATTCACAAATGGGTCAACTCAAATTAAGCAAATCTGCCAAACATCCCAATAATTAAATCAACATGGTAGTCATTTTGGTGGATTCTTGATGATTCCTTAGGAGATCCTGCTTGGGCAGTCAACTTACTGTCTCCGTATTGGTGGATTCCATATGGGTAGTAATATAGAGCGGGTAATATCGACCCAAGTGTGATTAAATTCACGGCACGAGATTGGGCCTAGGTAGCTTAGCGGTTAGAGGATTGACCTCCGGCAAAGGTCTTCTCTGCTGCACGGGTTCAAATCCCCTAAAAAGCCTTAAGTTTTTTCACAATTGGGTCAACTCAAATAAAGCAAATCTGCCAAACCTCCTTAAATCTTAACTGCATTCGGCACCCTCCCACCACCAAAAATGTTTATGGCTATGCGTCTGCTACCAGAGAGACGCGATGAATCACGAAAATCAGTGAAAGAGTAGGTGTATGATCAGACTCGCATGCTACACAAATCTAATTCATGTAGCTTTGCAGCCTTCTTAACTTAAATACTGCAGATTTTTATCAAGACAAGCATACTACCACATTATCTAGACGTGAACAGCTAAATATTAACTGGATAAAAGCAAATCCGAATAATATTTGACAGTACTGTCTAGAAAGTACAAATGATGGTTTCGAATTCCGGAGAAAATAATTAAATTCTGCTAAAAATAGCAGTCATTGCAACTCATCTAAGCCAAAATGATCGAAAAGAATGGCCCTCGTATTTATGAAGACAAAATATGTGTTGACTCAATTTTTCCTCCGGTGGCTACCGATTCTCTATGGACTTTGCGAATTATTGAAATACGTTTTGAAGAGCGCGGGCAGCGTATGCCAAGCAAAGTTGCTGTGATCTTCAAATAATTGGTCTAGGAACCAGGGTTGAATATTTATGCAGAGCACACTAGTCAGTCCTGCGGATCTAGGTGTTAACCAAGCTTAACAATTCATGCAAATCATAGAATAAAGATACCGCAACTAAGTCTTATACCCAATTTTTGGCAAACAAGGGGCAGATTGCACATACGTCAATGTGTTTTGCCTGTTCCTTAACGTATACCAGCCTTTTGTTTTGGGGATTCATGTTGGAAATCAGGGCGACCGCCTTCTTTTTGCGCTGGGCGTGATGTTCCGGCAACCATCGAGTGCTTTTCTCGTCCAACATGTGAATTTGTTCGCGCGGTGGCATAATAGCCTCCGGTTGCTCATTGGCCGCGTAGACTCCGTCAATCCAGGGCACCTGTGCTTCGCCGTTTGGTAGCAGGAATACTTTAAACTACAAAACGGAGTAAAACGGCTGTATTTAGGATAAAGGAAAAACAATGGTATAAAAAACTCCAAATTAAGGCACTGCGTGTGAGGGAAGAACCAGTTTCTTGTCTACTGCAGCCGAAGTTGTGAATCATTCCAAAAATATAGTCATATAGGCAAAGCAAAATAGGGCGGGATAAAGCTGTTAGTAATTACCGGCGACTTCACGAGAGAGTCAATGTGGAAGGATAATACAAAAGGATCTGATTAGCTGTTCTACCTATTGGTGCGTTCTACATTTTAGATGAAACCGGACCCGTCGTTCGCATAAAAGACCCCTAGCTCTATAATGCCATAAGGCGTTTGTAGAAGCACTGTGTTTTAAATATACGGTTTTAAAGAAGCGCAGGACTGCAGGCAATGACATGAAATCCTGCGGCATCTGGTGACTTGGTTCTCTTTTGAACAAAGGGAATGCAACTCCCGCGGCATTCACTGAATAGCATAGAGTGGTTAATTTCATGAACACACGGTGACATTCGTCGCGTTTGGGAAAGGTTCCGATATCATACAGTGTAAAATGTACAACAAAATGATTACAATAAGTTTTGTAGGAGTTAAATAGGCTCTTAATTAAGGTTTTGTTTCTTAGTAATTTTTTTATTTTTATCTCCGTTAAATGCTGCTTTAAGTGAAGGGGAATTCCAACGGACGTTTAGGCAAAAAGAAGTAAAGTATGGCGAGTCCTGCATGCAACGATCATTACGAAATTTAACTTGGTAGTTTAGCACATAGTTGGACAGGTTATTTAAATCAATTGACTGCATTTAATAATAGGAAAATCTTTAGTTTGGAAATCTGCCCTCCTATTTAAAATTATAGAGCTAAATAGACACAAAATTTGGCTAAATCATGAGTACACTTATATCAAGAGCTTTCGTATGCTACAGGGTACGACAAAAGCGAACTTTCTATTAATATAGACTGTGTTATGGCAGATTTCCAGAATAAGTAAGAGAGTGGAAAAAGTAAACCTTCCAGAACTGATACATTTTGTCCGCAGTTGTTCAAATAGAAGTGAAGCCAAGTTTTAGGAATCGCATTTATTTGCAGAAAAAAGGTAGATTTTTGAATTTGATAATAAGCATCCCAAGAGATATAATTTGATGGAGAAATTCTTCGGAAAAAACGGTATCAAAATTTATTCGCTAATGTTTGAAACTAACATGCAAGGTCGTTTTCAAACGTGAGGACGAACAGTTCATACTTTAAAACGTGTCAAAAAAATCGATAATGCCGTGTCAGCTGTGGTCAATAGCCTGCTTTTGGGGTCGTTCTATTTTCCAGACC